ATATCCTCCCCCACCAACGCCTCACAATCAACAACACGACCGCTCTGACAAAGTCTTTGAAGGACATCGCTTTGCCTTCCAGCCTCCATTTCTCCGCCCATCAATCAATCACGACCTCCGAGCCTGTAGCAATCTTAGATGTCAACGACGATCTAACCCGGGAACTGGCCTTCTACAAGCAATGCCTTGACGCAGCCAACGAAGCTCGAACAATGCTGAAGAATGAGGGAGTCCCTTTCTCGCGGCCCACCGACTACTTTGCGGAAATGGTGAAAAGCGACGAGCACATGGGGAAGATCAAGTATAAGATGGTGGACGAGGCAGCTAACAAGAAGGCGGCCGCAGATGCAAGGAAGCAGAGGGATCTGAAGAAATTTGGGAAGCAGGTACAGGTTGCCAAGTTGCAGGAGAGGGATAAGGCGAAGAGGGAGACGTTGGACAGGATCAATTTGCTCAAGCGAAGTATGGTATCCGGCGTCGGGAGCCGTATGGTACAGTTGGGCTGATGATTCGTCTACAGAACGGAAGAACACAGATACGGGCGCCGCAAATGAAGAAGATCTCTTCGATGTAGCACTCGAGGATGCTGCTAAAGAAGAGCGGTCATCGAGATCTGCCAAAGGTGGAGATGGTCGAGGGCGAACGCAGAATAAAAGGCAGAAGAAAGATGATAAGCACGGCTTTGGTGGCAAGAAGCGGTTTTCGAAAAGTACAGACGCTGCTTCGACTGCAGACCTGCGCGGCTTTTCAGCGAAGAAGATGAAGGGAAAGAAAGGGCCGCAAAGGCTGGGAAAGAGCCGGAGAGCTAAACTGTGACGGGAAGGGGCCGATCAAAAGCACAGGAAATGATTGTCATCATATCCATATTTCCGGTATCGGCTGAGGAGTTTCGCAAGATACCCAATGAAATCGCAAGGTCCCCAATGAAATACTGAGACACAGATCGCGTTCTCTGAAATGATTTTTCATAGGAGGGGCTGACATATCTCATCGTCACACACGGCGTCCACGTCGTAGCGTTAGCTTGAGATGACCTTTCATCCGTCGTACATCCTCCGCGTTCAAATCACTGTGGGTATCATCCAAAAGACTCCGAGATCTACACACAGTCTCTTCTCTTCCTAGTATCTCCGCCTAATTGGAGGCTGCCACTTGCGCTGAAGGGTGTCCGGAGCAAGCTCAGTCCCAGGGTCAGGGGCAAATGCTTGCAATCGGCGTACAAGGTTGCTTCGCGATATTAGTACCTTAGCTCAATGTCTGTAGGAGCTTCGACACTTACTTGACGGGCAAGTACGGCCGACTCTCATTGAGAGCCAAGTCGATCTTCTCTTGAGCTTGAGTAGCGTGCGTCTTGAAATGTTCCATAATCCTCGCCTTGCCGGCCGGTTTCGAGGCTTCATGTACTCGATGGAAACAACCTTCGAGGGTGCAAGTCCATAAATCTCCAGGACCTTGAGGCTCCATGGACGGCAGGTCATACTCGACTACCCTCAACTCCAGGTACTTTCGTGGAAGATATTTCAGGCCGTGAGCATCTTCCGGAGAGCTTTCTCTTGGAGGGTTCGTTAAGAGCTCCAAGTCTTCGGCCGTATGTATCGTTGTGATGGGAGATCCTTCGAAGAATTGTGAGTCCTCGTCATTTTGCTCCTCTCCGTGAGGACCTTCACTCAGGTCGGCCACCGCGAAAAGACTCTTTCGACGACCTGCAGCTTTTCGCGCAGTCTTGCCTCCGCTTGGTTGCAAAATTGACTTGTGCTTGCGGGTGAGAACATTGCGAACGCCGTCTTCGTCCGAAGAGGCTGAATCTAGGACTTGTTTTGAGGGAGGTGTTCCGGGCAATTGACTTTCCACTTGGGCTGCTGCCCTGCCTTTACGCGTCTTCTTATCTTTAGGTTCTTCTGTGTGTGGCGATTGTGACTTTCTCTTCTTTGAATTGTCTCTATTTTCTAACGAGGCGGCTTTTAAAGCATTGTTGGTTCCAAAGACCCTCGCTTCAATTTTACTATACTCGTCCTGTAGCGAAGTCAGATGGTGAACCATTTATGTACGTTTCTGACCTACAGAGAACTTCGACTCATAATAATTCAGCATCGGCGTTTGGGCCCAGTCCAATCCCTCTTGACATTCAAGCATCGAGGTGATCAGAAATCCCCGATGCTCGTGGAAAGCTTCTCGAACGTCGTCCGCGTCAGAAAGGCGCAATGATTTTCCCGACGCGAGGTACTGTATACTTTTAGCAATTGCGCATGGGAGAGACGGGTATTGGCAAAGGTTCAGTACTTCTTTGAACAACGCTCTAGTGTACTTGTCCAATTCTTTTGCATTAAGCTTTGGACGCTTCCTGATCGCTCTCCTCAACTTGTCTGCGAGCATGTAGAACATGGATGCCGCCTCGTTCATCAAAGAATATGTCTCCTTGTATGAGGATGCTGGACTTTGAATCTCAAACCAGCCTGCCTTTCCTGCCGCCCAGAAACCGTAGGATCCATCTTCATATTCGGCGAACGCGTACGTTGTGACGTTCTTGAGCTCAATAGCTTTCTCGTGGTATCGCCTGTCTCGTACTAATTGACGCGTTCAGTCGTTCTCCTTTAGATTCATGACCGGTTTCATCATACCAAGTGGAAGTAAGTCACTGTCGATCTTGTCGAGTTTCCCCGATACTGTGACTGGATGGCCTTTGTGTGCTGACAATAAACTCGCCTGCTCTCCGGTCTTGGAAGAGGTGACATTGATCTTCTTGAAATTAAAAGTTGGCCACTCATCTGAATTGCGGAGAGAGGGGTCTTTCGGCTTGAGTACGTCCTCCTCTAGGATGGCCATAGGTTTTAGAGCACGTTTTGGGTCTGGTGACGGTGGTGACGGAGCGCATAAGTCAATGATTATGAGTTCCTCAAACGCGGAAGACGCGTGCCCTGGGGTGGCTATATCAAAGCGGCAGCTTGTCTTTGAACGTCAATCTCGCTTATGATAGGTATCCGTGATCGACAATCAATGATCGCTTAAGCAAAGTAATTGATGCAGCTGCCCCTGCACGCCCTGTTTGACGGTGAAGTCGTGAAGTAAGGTACTTTAGTGAAGGACTGGCATTATACTCGAGTCCATTTCATTCTATATTGCTGCGCTTTCTTGACATTCTATTTTGTACTAATTATTCAATTGTGTGTATCGTATATCATTTCACCTATTTATTTCATCAAAAGTCAACACCAGATGTGGGAACTTGGTCATTTTCCCCAATCCTAATTGCAGTCTCTCGAGCGACTTGGATGCCCGTTCCGACCTCGCTCGTCAAGAATATCATGTCCAAACCAAAGGGTAAGGTGGTCGAAGGTGTCTTTGGTAAGACGTTCCATCTTTGACTTTCGCTTCTCTTATCTCTTCCTTCTTACTCATCCATTGACCGTTTAGCAATAAACAAGCCCGCTGCCATCTCCTCCGCCCAGACAATCCGCAACCTGCAGCATCGTTTTAACCCTTCCGCCCTCTTTGCCCCTTGGCTTGCTGCTGAGCGCTCCAATCGCGAAATCGAGGTACGTACATTCCCGCGTAATTCCTTCCTGTCTGGTATAAAATTTGGGATCACATGCCATCTTTCAGGAGTAGAAAGCCCCTTTACTCACTCCCCACAACTGTCTTGTTGTTTAGGTGAAACCCTATGTTCCGGCACCGAAAGGAAATCTTTACTCTCTGAAGTGACGCTGACTCTGAAATCGGCGTAGGAGCGCACTCACCGCAATCGCCGGAAGGATAAACGAGTTCAAGTCAAGATTGGCCATGGCGGCACTCTCGACCCTATGGCCACCGGCGTGCTCATCATGGGTGTAGGTCAGGGTACGAAGCGGCTACAAGGATTCCTCGAATGTACCAAGACTTATGAGGCTACGATACTCTTTGGGGCGGCTACAGACACATACGATACCCTAGGTAAGGTTCTTCGGAGGGCAGAGTATGGCCACGTAAGCAGAGAAAATGTGGAGAAGGCGTTGGGCAAGTTCAGGGGAAAGATCATGCAGAGACCGCCCATTTATTCGGCGTTGAGAGTGCAAGGGAAGAGACTCTATGAGTATGCCAGAGAAGGCAAAGAGGTTCCGAAAGAAATCGAAGGGCGGCCGGTAGAAGTGAAGGAACTCGAGATCGTGAACTGGATGGAGGGAGGCAGCCACAACCACGGTCTTCCCAAAGAAGACGCGGAGGATGAGGCAAAGGATCTTGCCGAGAAGGTATTGCATCTCGAAGAGGCTGTTGCGACGTCTGAAAACGCTAGTGAAGTTCAGTTCATGAACGGAACTGCAGGCACAGGGACCAAGAGGAAGCGTTCACTGGATGACGGTGATAGCGTGGTACCCAATAAAAACCCGGAGCTAGGACCTGAAGGGGAGTCTCAATGGCTCATGTCAGGAGGCCTCCAAAACCCTGACCATAGCACAAAGCAGATCGATACTCATGCACAACAGAGCTCGCCACCACCAATAGAAGGCCCACCAGCAGTCAAATTGCGCATGACAGTGACATCGGGGTTTTACGTTCGTTCACTCAGTCATGACCTCGGTGAATTGGTGGGCTCACTAGCTTGCATGTGCGAACTAGTGCGTACCAGGCAGGGCGACTTCGAGCTAGGCAAGAACGTGCTAGAATATGAAGACTTGGAGAAGGGAGAAGACGTGTGGGGACCAAAGGTAGAGCAGCTGCTTTCGGATTGGGAGAGTAGCAATGAAGATATGAATGGTGGGGCAGACAGAAGCGACGGGGGAAGAAGGAGACGAAGAAGAAATAGTAGTAGTGATGCATAACAACTTGGAGTACCCAGAGCATTTGAAAATCAATGGCCTGCTTATATGAATGGATGTTCGACGGGCATGCCTAGCGCCTGGAAATCTAAGATTAATGATACCCAAAATCTAGCGTAAGCTGCTCATCTCTTGCCAAGATTACCCGTCGCTATGCCATGTTGCGCGTGTACCAGGCGTTTGCTCATAAATCGTATCAAAAGACTCAATTCACTGCATTTGCGGCCTCACTCTACCCCACGTTCTCTGTAGAAGTGAACTTGGCTTTCCAAGCGAGTCTTCTTCCTCTGGCTTTCCCATTTCTTCATTTTGAGTGCTTTCGTGATTAACGAAGACGAAGGATAAGAGGACGATACAGGCCCCAATCCAGTAAGATACGCTTGATGTCTGTGAGTATTCGATCATCTGTCCAATCAAAGACAGTGGTATGGTCAGACTGAGGCCAACTGTGACTACCAAAGGTGACGTGAGCAACATTGAATATGCCCAACAGAGGTCCGAAACTAGAGAAGTCGCTGAGTTGATCTGATCTATTGTCTCAGCCATTTCCTAAACAGTGCTAGGGGTCACTTACCAATACGATAGCCAGGATACGCCTTGTAGGTGGCAATTCAAATGTCTCGATGCCGGTAAAATGAAGGATGAAGAAGCCCGGTAACAGTGTGATGAAGTTGAACAATCCAACGAAGCCGAAAAACAATGGCATGTCCACTCTTGACTCGTCCCCTATCCTTTTCTTCATGAGAGTAGTGTAGATCCCATACATGACAGCGCTAGTGAAAGCAAGGACGTCACCAATGGCGATTTCTTTGTGGGACTTGTGGGGGAAAGATCCCCGGTTCTTGTCTTGGTTACCAGTTATGTCGATGCTAGAGATCAATATGATGCCGGCCAGAGAAGCGAGTACGCCAACAAGTTTCTTTATGGTGAACTTCTCTACGCTGAGCAGTGCACCAAAAATCAGAGTCCAGACACCTATTGCAACGTGAGCATGTGCACAAGGATTGCGAGCGAGAGAGAGAGAGGCGCTATCTTACTGCTCGTTGATGTCAATATGGTTGAGCTAGCGACGGTAGTATATTCGAGACATGCTGCCACGAAGTAATTGGCCTGATTTTTCTGTTAGGAACAACCAGGATTGATTTGAATGTTATACACGTACTAGGAACTACGAAAGATCAGCCGTGTTTCGTTTCGATTGAGATGAATCCTACCCATAATATGCAAAATTCAAAGCTCAATTTCAGAGTTTCTCGAACGTTCAGACGCCTTTCTGAAGGACTTCCTTCCACTCCGGAGCTCTTCGATGGCTCTTCGATCAGTAACCGGCTACGCGGTGACCGGCTTGCTTCTTGAATGCCTCCGTCATCGTCAGGCTTGATAAAGGCTTGCTCCTCCTCTTCAACGATAGGCAAATAGTGGGTGGACCGATCATGTCCACGAATAGCGCCCTTTATAGATCCGCCGGTTGCCCACAGCCTCTTTGCAGCAACCAGTAGCAGCAAGAGAGAGAAGAAGGATGAATTGACATAAGTGACAAAGTATGGTTTGGAGTAGCTATCATCTGCAAAAATTGTCTGCAGGTGAAGTTGTAAGTGTATGCTACCAGCTATTCGATTTCGACGAAACCTACACTTGCTAGAAAATTTGACGCTGTCCATAAAACTACAGTGGCCAGGAGCAGGATGATCCCAATTGTATGCCGCCAAACGCCACGAAGTGGTTTCTGGTGCGGCGGAGGTGTTTTGTGAGACGACATTCGAGACCTCTGTGACCATGAGGAATCCGTAGATCTTCTACCTGCCTGCGAGTCTTCCGAGCGCGAATTTGGTACAGGCAAGACAAAATCGTCTGCTGGGACCGGAGCGAGAGGTTGACTCATAGCTACTACCGGCTTCTCCAAGATGATTGTTGCCTGCTGCGGGTATGCATCGGGGTCCTTAAGCCTTCCACCTGATTTCCACGGCTTTTGTCTGGTCCCTGGTCATGGGAAAAACAAAGACCGTAACGTCACAAGCTCGACTGTCACTTGCGGTCCCAGTAAGGTACCTCTGGATTGGGTCAGGTTCCTTTCGAAGGGAGAACCTGGAGCCAGTACCTAATTCCCGAAGATCCTAGACGCCGTGTAGTTATTGTATATGGATGAGTCAAAGGAGACAATAAAGTAATGTTGTGACTATTGGAAGCATTCAGGGAAGATCGGGGTGGAAGCCTGGGAGCTTGAGGGATTAGCGTGTGCAGAAAAGTCCGCATGTTTTGGCGCGCTGAAAGAAATCCCACCTCTGTCTTCAATCTCGTGATTGCTACTTAGACCTTTGAACAATATCAGTTGAAATCAATACCTATCATCCAGATTGTTTGCTTCACACAAAACTCAGTCTAACACATCTCTGCAATTTAGATGACGTGAATCGATGGTCTTTAAATCATCTTGACATCTCTTTGAGACTGGAATGTCAAAAGCTCAATATATAGACGTCTATAAGAACGTTCGCAACTCATTATCAATCCTAGGATCTCGAACTTTACTTGATCTCATGAGCCTTGAACAAAGCTGGTATGCAATCTTATATAACTCTTTACAATACTTCAGGCGGCGTGCAACAGGTGACCGAGAGGTTTGGGAGTTTTCAGTGCCAAGATTTGCAGACCTTTCTGCATATGCTAAGATCGGCGAAACTCACGGGCCGAATTTTTGCGAATCTACTGAATGGCTGTGCAACTCTTCTTGTCAGCACCACCTTTCTCTATTCACACTCTATCATTTAGACTTGTTGGCTTTTTGCATTCGCTACCAAAATAACACTCATTTTCAGTCAATGCATTATTGATACCCAAAGTATAGCTTGGCGACCATGGGCTTCTTTGACAGCATTCAGAAGCCCGGCTTCACGGCGGCCAAGGGCAAAAATGTTCACATCAAGCAGGAAATTGTGAAGACGGCTTTGAACCCCAAAAAGACATTCGTTCCATTTCCACAGCATCTCAAAAAACGCTCTTTACCAGATAAAAAGGCTACGGTGTTGGATAACCAGACTGCCAAACTATCTCCCAGGTCTCGAGCCCAAAATCCCCGGAAACGCCCAGCTTCGACCCCGCAGCGTCTTGAATCTGATAGTGACGATGACGTATCTGATCATGATCTTGGGGATGCAAGAAAACGAGCACGGAGAACTAGTGACGTGGAGCCCGATCTAAAACGGCGGATCCGTAGCAGAAAGGCCTTCTCGGAGGAGGATGGTGGGGTGTTTCCCATGGTCCATGCAGTAGATGTTGCTTCTCTGAGCAAGCCCACGAAATACAAAGCCGCCTTCCCGAATAACCCGCAGGCTATCGAGATTCATTTGCAGTACCCGTCTGCTTCTCAGAGCGAGAAGTATGCCTTTCATCGACGTGCCCAAAAGAGGATATAGCTAATCATCGCAGATACGAGTTGGTTGTGCCAATCCTTAATGATGATTTCAAGGCTTTGGAAGACATTAGAGAAGTCATGGAGACCATCATCAGCAACTACCTTCCAAGCGCTGAAGCAGCGAAAATGCAAAATGACAGCACGGGACTGATTAGGCGACTCAAGCGAGCCACGGAGAGGCGTGCCGGGAACGAATACACGGGCTTTGTGCAGGAATGGAATGACACCTTGGTTGATCTCAGGAAAAACGGGACTATTTCTAAGACCATCGACGACTGGAAGGTTGTCGACCTAAAATTGCTCGAGCGAATCCTGACACAAACCTACTCACGAACAGTTTCACCTAGGGTACACACGTTACGCCACTACCAGAACGGGACGGATAATGTGTACGGCGAGCTACTTCCCAAATTCATCTCCCTAATTCTCAAACAGGACGTCAAGATGATGTCCGATCAGATCTTTGTTGATCTCGGGTCCGGAGTCGGGAATTGCGTACTTCAAGCCGCTCTGGAGGTTGGATGCGAGAGCTGGGGCTGTGAGATGATGGACAATGCTTGTGATCTTGCCGAGCTTCAGGAGAAGGAATTCAACGCTCGGTGCCGGCTGTGGGGTCTTTCCGCGGGTGACATTCATCTTGAACGAGGCGATTTTCTCAAGAATCCTGCGATCCTGAAGATTCTCCAGAAAGCAGATGTAGTCCTTGTCAACAACCAGGCATTCACTCCGAACCTCAACGAAGACTTGACAAATCTGTTCCTAGACCTTAAAGAGGGAGCCAAGATCGTGTCACTCAAATCCTTCGTTCCCCATGGGCATAAGATCACTTCCAAAAATTTGTCGGCTGCATGCAATAGACTCGAAGTCGTCCAGAAGACTTATTTCTCGGCCTGCGTGAGCTGGACTGAAACTGCAGGCACTTACTATGTTTCGACAAAGGACAGCTCTAAGGTCCAGGCCTTTGCTGAAAAGAACATGTGAGCGACTTTCCAGGATGGGGCACGGAAAGCCTATCACAAGCACAAACAGAGAGTATGGTCAGTATTATCTAAGGTCTAGTAGCGAAGCTTTTGATACTGCATAAACTTGGAGTTTAGCGGCTCGAGAGATACCCAGGAGCATTCGAAGAGCATTGGATGGCGGCATCTTCTCCGAAGGCACGATTCAGGTTTTTCATAGACGCGTGCATTGGTCAGGAAAATTTGGATTCATCGTTCATAGCATCAGCTTCCTGTCCCATTCGTGCCATCCACCGATCGACCAACTCCTTATTCTCATGTCGCAACTTCTGAGAATGCTCTTCGGCCATGTTCAGCTGGAGCGTTAACGATACGGTCTCGTCATGCACGTCCTGCTGATCAATCAGACACGTCTTTCAACAAGAACAGAGCGCATTGACTCAAACCTCTAGCAACTTCGCCTTCCCCCTGAGTTCCTCATCTCTGTCCCTCATCCCCGTAGTCAACATCGCTTTCTCCTTCGAAAGCTCGCCAATACGTTTGCTGTCCAATGACGATTGTATTCTCAGCTTCTGCAACTCTTCTGTGACGCTCTGGAGCTTGGCCTCCATCAAACCCCTGCTACGCTGAGCCTCACTCAAGTCCTGGCGCACTTTGGTGATTGTATCTCCAGTGGTGGGACTACCGAGTACCGCTTTCTCTCGGCTTATCTTGTGGTCTTTGGGATTGGGTGACGATCTTGGCTCTTCTTGTAACCTAGTAACTTCTGCTGACCGAGCGGCTTGGAGGGTAGCTGTTCGATCAGCCAATTTGGCGTCTGATGCACTTTGTCAATTTCCGACATGGACTTCTGAACGAAAAAACAAACAGCTATTATATACAGCTTCATTTGCCTTCTCCTTCTTGTCCCTCTCATGCAGCGCACTCAGGTAGTCATCCCGCCAGGATGGCATATTCAGATGTACATGATGTTTTGAGAGTTGATCTGTTGCATGTTGGTAGACTTCTGTCTCCGTGATGGATTCTGAACGCTCGATACAAGTTTCCTATTTGCTTTGAAGCTCCATTGTGCTGATACATTAGATGACCGATCGAACGTAAAAATGGCTGTGGGCGCACATGATGCGATTTCGATAGGGCTGAAGGATGATCGACGGTTTGGCTACCGTGACATGGCCGAGCAGGCGCAGCTCTTTGGCGTCAACTTCTCCGGAAACAGCCCAAATCGTCACCCTTCGGCTTTACTGAGGAACACGAGTACACCGCACTTAACGACTGCTGTTGATAAGCTCCGTCTCAGCCAGTTGTGAGAACTTTTAGACAATAAAAGCAAAGCCCAGCTCTACTTTTGCTCAGCAGGAGGAGGCTTCAGCAAGAACTTCTAGCTTGGCGGGCGTGTTTAACCGTTGTTTTCATTCATCTTATCGTCTGAGAGTATTCGATCAACATGGCCTCGAGGAAGAAAGTCCTGCTTAAGGTACCTCTACCGCTCAGTACAAAGGTAATGGTCAATCACTAACATCCAGCCATAACTAGGTGATTATCCTTGGCGATAGTGGAGTTGGGAAGACTAGTTTGATGAACCAATTTGTATGTACAGCAGGACGCATGGCCTTCCTGCGCAGCTTTGGCGGCTAAGATTCATCTTCAAATCAGGTCAACAAGAAATTCAGCGCAAGCTACAAGGCAACAATTGGGGCGGACTTCCTGACGAAAGAGGTCTTGGTGGACGATCGATTAGTCACAATGCAGGTGTGGGCACAAGCTGCTTGACGCTGTATCAAGGGCTAATTGTTGTCTAGCTTTGGGATACCGCTGGTCAAGAGCGGTTCCAGTCGCTAGGCGTGGCATTCTACAGAGGGGCCGATTGCTGCGTCCTGGTGTACGACGTCAACAACTCAAAGAGTTTCGATACTCTGGACAGTTGGAGAGACGAATTTCTGATCCAGGCCAGCCCTCGAGATCCCGAGAACTTCCCTTTTGTTGGTCAACCTCGAGCAGTCCTGCGTTTTGCTGCCTAACAAGACACAGGTTGTCCTTGGAAATAAAATTGATGTAGAAGAAAATAAGCGAATGATATCTTCGAAACGAGCCATGACGTTCTGCCAGTCGAAAGGCGGAATTCCATACTTTGAGACCAGTGCTAAAGAGGCTGTCAACGTTGAGCAGGCATTCGAAGGCATGGTGCACCCAAACTTTTCGTTTATGTCTATATCTTCGTGCTGACATAGGTACTTTCAGTAATCGCCAGGAACGCCTTGGCACAAGAAGAATCGGAGGAGTTCAGTGGTGACTTCTCGGATCCTATCGACATCCACTTGGACAGGGAGAGCGATGGTTGTGCGTGCTAGTCGCGCTTAGTCTCATGTGTCCTGGTTTCTGATCGAAATGATATGCGCTCGCCATGCATTTTCCATGAAGAGCATGGGCGGCAGAAGGTGCAGGTCTTTCACGCAGCAGGGATAAAGTATCTCTAATTGTGCACCAAATTGGAGGACTTAATGGCAGACC